AATGCTTGATTAGATTAGCCATGACACAAAGACCAAAGCAAAGCATTGGTCTGTCCTAACAGTTATCTCACTTAGACAACATATTAGAGAGTAATAGAAAATTGCAAATTTCTCAACACTTTATGTACAGTTAGGAACCAGAACTTACTGAGAAAACCTAATTGGAACACAGATTCCTGTAATTTTTTCCATCATGTAATCATGGAAACGAATAGTCTTAATACCTTTAAAAAGTATATGTGAAATTGGAGTGATGTTGATTGCATTTCAGAGCTATGTGTTTTATTCTGATGATCTAACTTTGAGATGCCAATCACATCATGGATGCATTTGGGTTTCGCTCTGAGATCTTGTTAAACTGCTTTTTGGTACCCTATGAACACATGAAGCAGACCATCTTTCACCAGACAGCCAAAGGTAACAAAGGGATGGGAAGCAGTGAGAATCAATATAGTAAGAGTATTTTTAGGGACTATTGATGGATTGCTGTATTTTGAGCTTAACTTCAAGGGCCAAATGCCCCCAAGCTGACTAAGATGAACTCACCATTTACTGAGAACTGTAGGCCGTCACACACACAGAGGGGCTCTGGGATGGCCAAGACGAGATTCACACATTGTTCCCTTGGCTGCATGGGGAGAACTCCTGGAAGGTTTTTTTTTTTTTGATAAGGACTTGATACCAGTCTCCTGGCCTGGTAAGTTGTAACCGTGAGATTTTAGGACAAAACCGTTACCGTGGCGCATTCATTAACGCTCCAGTCAGGAGGGATCTGGTACACCCACCGCGGTGCTCAGGGCTCCGCGCCGTCTCCAGAGGCGGCCCGAGGAAGGTGGGAGCCACGTGGAGCCACGCTGCCGTCAGCAAGCTGGAAGCTGCGGGTCCCTGACACGCTCTCAGTTGCTAGCAGGTTCCCTCACTGTACCTCATTTGCATCTGGGACATCAATTAGCATGTTTGTTGAGGCTAATTGAATGAAACTCAATCATAGCTCTTAATTGCTTGACTATGTGAAAAGAAATCACATTAATGCAGCTAATTAAGTGTACGGCAATAGATGCAACATAATTAGGAGAAAATGTAAAAAACACGGGATGGCAAAGGTGCGGGAGCCGGGTGGCAGGGGGGCGCCAGGCGCGGTTAGCGAGCTCCATCCACCCGGTCGGGGATGGGTCCCTCCGCTCCGGCGCCTGCTTGCAAAAAATAATCCAGGCGACGAGCGCGGACAACTTGAGAAGAAAAATGCAAATAGGTTTGCAATTACTACTTTTTCAAGCTGTTGAGGGGCAGGAGATGGCACCTCTGGGGGCCTGGGCTCTTGAGTGGGCCCCAGGGACTTGTTAAGTGCTGTTTAAAAGTACTTGGCTTTGAATTACCCTCATGCCTTGTTAAAGGGTTTTTTCCCCTTTTATCCTCGATCAGCATTTTTCTACCAGGAACATGGGGAAGGGATGTATCTGGAACATTTGCATATCAAAATCAAGCTCGCAGGCTTTATTTCGCCCTGCGAGGTCCCTACTTTGGACCACTGTGCCCCACGTCCCACTTCTAAAGAGGTGACATTATTTAGAGGTTGTAGCTTCAATTCCTCAAGTCCCAAGCTGGGGCCAGATGAAAAGGGTAATTCTTTCAAAATCAGAAAACTCCCGTGTGGTTTCTCTTGGGAGAAGCTAGAAGCCACTGATTCAGGTATCCACCTGTTTCTGAAAACACCAAGCTGAAAGACTTGTGTGGACTAGGAAATGCATCTTGTAAAGGTTTTAGCAATGTTAGAGGCTTGACATTTAGGAACTGCCAAACTTACCCTCTGAATTTCTTAGGAACTAATTCTTCTGTGCTTTGAAGTGCCTAACCCAGGCAGGAAAAACAGATTCCCTCAGCCTGTGCTGAGCCAAAGATAAATGGGTCCCTTCGCTGCGTTCAGATCTGGAGAGCTGGCACTTGGTACATTTCTATAATAATTTTAAATAAAATATCCTGGTTATTGTATGTTAAAACACGCCTATTAAAAAGGAGGCCATGCTGAGGTTTAGTCACTCTCTGATTAGGCTCATTTCAGAGCCCATAAGCCATAAATGCTCAATTACACTCCTGTTATTGTATTTTAATTTGTTAAGAATTGGCATTAAAGAAGAAAGTTATAGCAAGTTGATATTTTTAAAGGAGTAACTATGCAAGAAGGAATTCATTATTTACAAGTCCTAACTTTGGTTTTGAAACTTGAGGTTTGCCCCTTTTCAGTAGGTATCAAGGGAAGTAAATGCAAACTGCTTGAGAACAACCTTTTTTTCACAATGCCCTTGACCCTTGGTCCTGTGCTGACTGAAGGTCACTTCTTCTGTGTGTTTTTTGTTCGCCATCCTCTTGATGAGCTGCGTCATGAGACCTTGGTGTTTCCTCCCGTCCGCCTTACCCTTCAGCCTAATTTAAGGATAACGACTTTCTTTCTATCCTTTGTCCTCATCCTTTTGAAGTCACAGTTTTTTCATAGTAAATAATATTTGTGGTGGATGTTGGGGGTTGGGGGGGCAGGTTCTAGCAGTTTCTAAGTATCTTAACTTTCAAATGGAGTCGTTAGTCTGTTCCCAGTTGGACACAGCATCTCCCTTCCTGAAACCCGCGATGACTCTCCTTCCAATATGCCCATGGCCAACCCTGGCAGATGCCCCCCCCCCCCCACCAAGAGATGGGAGATGACATGCCCAGTTGGTCCAGCCCCGGGTGCATCAGCGCCTATGCCCCCGGCTTCCCCGACTGACAGCGTACGAGCTGGTGCAGGCGCTTCCATCTGGATGGTTTATCATCACTGAGGAAGGCCCAGCCTCGTCCCTCCCTGGAGGAGCTGGTCTGAGTTCGCCCCTGCTGTGGTGCAGCCCCTGATCCTTTATCTGTCTACAGTCCCACGTTCCTCCTGAGTCCAGCCGTGGCTTTTGGAGCTTCTGTTCTATGCTAAGAATTGGCCGTGTGAGGTCTGTCCTTGGGCGGTCGCCTGTGACCCCGTCGCATCTTCTCTTGCTGGGCTGGTGCTCGCCGAACCTTCTGGGGTTCTGGATTCTCATCACAGGCTCCCCTCGTGTGATGGAGTTTCTCTTCCAGCACTTCCTCCTCCTCTGTTGAGAATTCTCCCAGCCCCTTTCCTGAGTTGGGGTGATGCCCACGTGGCCATGACTTTCAGCTGCATAATTCCAGGGGGAGGTGTGAGGCTTAGCTGGTCCTCCCTTCTGCGTATGGCCGAGAGAGGACGGCTCTGTCTGTCCTGACAACTGTTTGGGTTCTTGCCCTGTGCTGGAATCTTGGACTTTGGATTCTTCCTTGGGCCATAATTTCTATCAGAAAACTTCCTGCTTTTGGATAGACCAGTCCCTGCTTCTCAGCCGCTTCACCTCCTGAACTATTGACCTTGTCTTGCAATTAAAAGAAGCCAGTGGGGTCCTTCTCTTGGCTTCCCTAGTACGCTGTGTCTCCTCTTGAGCGTCCGTCACACACCTTGACCAGCTTTCCTGGTCCTCTGACTGTGCAGTTTGCTGCTAGACCATCACCTTCTCTCCCTGCATCTACTGACCCTGTTGACGGGCAGCTATAAGGAAACAGCTCTCTGCTCCCGTCTCCCTGGGTCTCTTGCAGCCCACTTACTGGCTCCTTTGGTAGTTCTTCTAAAATTAGATTGACTTGAACTTGATTGCTTATACTAAATACACGTGTATTGGTTTTTCTTTGACATCATAAAACAAATGCCCCCAGGATTCTCTGCCAGACTTCCCAGGTGGCACTAGTGGTAAATAGAACCCGCCTGCCAATGCAGGAGACATAAGAGACCTGGGTTCGATCCCTGGGTCAGGAAGATCCCTTGGAAGAGGAAGTGGCAACCCTACTCCAGTATTCTGGCCTGGAGAATCCCATGGACAGAGCTACAGTCCATGGGGTCGCACAGAGTCGGATACGACTGAAGCGACTTAGCAAACACACACAAAGGATTCTGCCAAGGAAGGACTCTGTTCATTTCCTTCCCTGATTAGTCTTAAAACACTTGAAATATTATTTACCCAACAGTGATTTAGATAGACTGCATCATTTCTCAGTGTGCGATGTTGGTTTAATGATATGTCTGCAGAGATAAGGGGGCTTATTGCCCATAAAAATGCATGAAAAGATCAGTAAGTCCTAATGCACCAAGAGACCCCTCACTCTGACTCTCAGTCGCCATCCCCTCTCTCCCTGTCCATCAGCTGACTCCTAAGTGTTGCTTTCCTCCACATGGAATTGGATGACGGCCCAGAGAACTCACTGTGTACCTAGACTTCTCTTTAGTTTCATGATAACTGCTAGTCATTCGCCTCCAAGACACAGACAGCAGCAAGACACTGCTTCTGAGTACAGTGAATCCCTTGAAGAAACCTCATACTGAATATAAATGATGTGCTTTCTGTTTGAACATCCAGCTCTTGTACATCCATCAGGGACCTCCATGTTTTTTCAGCACCCTACCACTGACCCCTCAGATATCTTCCTGAACAAAACACTTGGCCTCTTAAGAGTGTTTACCTGAGTTCCCAGCAGACAACTTCAGTCTTAGCTAGGCATTCTGGGGTGTCGCCATCAGAGACAAAAAGGTTATTACAAAATAGTTCCTACTCCATGGAATTTTCCCTGCAACTCACAGGAAGAGCCCAGGCTCCTCATGTGCCATCTGATAGGTATCAACTCACAGAGTAGGATTTCATGTCTGTATTTATTTTCTTTATCCTCCTGCATAGAAGCATCTACTGCGTCTCCTGTATCTCCAGGGCCTGGGCTAGTTCAGGACACAGAGGCAGAGCTGATTTCAGTGTAATGATGACGCCACCAGGACAAGCCAGATCAAAGCCTCCTTATTTTTTAAAGCGCTCACCACCAAGGAAGGGTCATAGGATGACGACTCACGATGTCTCATAGAACCTCTTGTCCTAGATTGTAGAAGGTCTCCCTTTTAATCTCTCTTGGATGTTTAACGTTTTGAACAGGATTACATGCAGAATGTTCACGGTAAAGAGATTGATCTTCTGAGAACCACTGTGAAAGTCCCAGGGAAGAGGCCCCCCCGAGCCACGTCAGCCTGCGCACCCATCTCCAGCCCGAAAACCAATGGCCTGTCCAAGGACATGAGCAGCTTGCACATTTCACCAAATTCAGGTAAGCTCACAGCCGGCCTGCTGAAGAGATCCGGCCCGACTCCAGTGATGGGTGGCCCCAATGTGGGAGACAGTGCTGAGCTTCTAGGGTTAAGTGGAGGCTTTGCCCATTAGACTGTAGGCTAAGGGACACACTCTCATGTCTTCTGTGGGTGCTTGTTCCCCCTACACCCTTGGGTCCCAGGACTGCCCACAAGCAAACTGTGGCTCTTTGAGTCACAGATGCATGGACCACTAGGCTTTTCCGGGGCTGGGCGGTTGAAAGTTGCATCTTACACGTGATGGAGGATTTAAGGGCCCTCTGATAAACATCAATTCACTGTTAGATTATCAAGGATTAGTCCTAATTTGTCGTAAATGTGTATAGAAAAATGGAAATACCAGTTTAGAGCAAGATTTAAAGGAAACCATTGGACCTGCAAAATTTCAGACTCTCTTGGTTTTGTATTGTCACTGTTACGTCTTCGACACAGCTTTGGTTTTTTGCATTCTCTTTTAAAGGAGGATTTGTCTTTGGTTCATCATCAGAGAAAATCAGTGTTTCTCGAAATAGATGTATTGAGAAATTCCCAGCCTCTGGGTGCAATGCAAGCCCTTCAGGGTATTGTGGTTCATTGTTGTTTAAGAGTCTTAGCAAACCAAGCTCTGGCATTTGCCTTCTGTGGTTTCTTATCAGAGGAAAGGTGGTGAGAAGAACTTAAAGTCTTCCCACCCGCAGACTCAGACTCCTCCAACAAATGGAATCCCTTCACAGATTTCAGTTGTTTCCTTTCTTGTCTCCAGCTTACATCCGATTTTCTCAAAATAGATTTCTGTGCTGTAGTCATTCCTAACATGTGTCCCTGCCTTAAACACGCTGCCTTTTTTCCTTTCTGAAATGCTAAATGCTTTTAAAGAGGAATGATGCTGACCCCATCGTTCCACGGTGTGAATGACATTGTTGGCAAAAGGAGGCTAATAAAAAGGAGATAGAATTTGGGGTCCGCCAGCCTGTGTTCTACCGCCGCGTGCTGCAAGGTGCTGGGTAGGTAACTGACCGCGCTTTCCATGAGGCTGATCCGGCCTGGCCTGCCTCCATTACAGAGGTGTGATGGCAGGTACTGCGGAAACTCATAAACACCACACAAATGTCAGCTGTTGTTACTAATCAAAGTAAAACTGGGCTTTCTCGTAACAGAGACATTAGTTCACTCCAGGAAGCAGATAAGGTTACCCTATGGGCTCTCATGGCCTACTGACCTTCCTTCCAAGAGATGTGTGAATTTTCCCTTTCAGGACGGTGTGCTAACTTTATGGGAAGAGAGAAAAGTGCCCAAGAAAAAATTTTTTTTCTATAGTGAATAGAAAGCTGATGTCATCATTAATCTATTTTTTTGTTGTTGTTCAAAAAGTACTTATTGAGTATCTGTCCCATGCCAGGGATTGTGCATTGTGTGAATCCCAAGTTCCTGACCTCCAGAACTTCTATGCAAGGCAGTCACCCTTTCACCAGCTTTCCACTTCCCCTTCTAACCATCATGCCACGTCTCTCCATTTATTTATTCAAATCAACAAGCATGTGTGAAGTTTCTAATGTGTGCTGGTCACTGTCCTGCACTCCGGGGGAGCAGAAATATGAGGTGTTATCCCTGCCTTCCGGAATCTCAGCCTCTGGGTGGTGGGAGAGATGCGTAGATGAATCAGTGAAGTCCCATAGTCGGGGCAGGTGAAGGGGTGTGAAAGCCCAAGGTGATGCACTTGGCTGCACCCCAGGAGGTGGGACAAGGCTTCCAGGGAATGTCCGTGGGTGTGGGAAGAAAGGGTGGGAACTTGCCAGGCAAGTAGGATGAGGAAAGAGTCCTGACAATTTGAAGCCGTGTGGGCTATGTGAGATTTGGGGTTTGAACGTCATCTTGCGATTTGTACTCTTTGGAGCTTACCCGCCACTTCCTGTCCTAAGGAAAATGTCCTGTTCGTTAACAAACAGAAAACCCACCAATGCCATATAAACCTTATCACATCCCTAGATGTTATGTCGTGGGCCTCAGCCAAGGGATTGAGTTCGCAATGTCCAGTTGCCTTCCCTTTAAGAGTCTTGCTGTTGGGTGAATGGGAGGCACAAACGAAATCCTTTTTCCACGGTCGCACCCTCGGTTTATTACAACCGGGTAACCAGCCTACACCGGGCGCTCCCATTCAGGGAGCCTGGTAGAGTTTCCATCCTCCTTGGAACACAGGTAGGGACTCGAACAGTGCAAGTTCAGTGCATGAAGCCGGGCACCCAGAGCCGGCGCTCCGGACAACCCAGAGGGACAGGGTGGGGAGGGGCAGGAGGGGACTCGAGATTGGGGGCAGGGGGGACCCGCATCCACCCGTGGTCGACTCGTCTTGATGTACGGCCAAAACTGTCACGGTGTTGTCATTATCCTCCAATTAAAATAAATTAATTAAAACCGAAAACAAGTAGAGACTCAGAAGTGGGAATATGACATCCACCGGAGCCCAGCACCACTTAGGGGAAGGAGGCCCCTCCTGGTCACAGGGCTCCCGGCTGTGTGGTGCCCTCAGCTAAGCCCGGGACAGTGTCATCAACGGGGGTCCAGCAAGACTGATTTCTGCCCTGTTGTTCATAGAACTGTCTCATAGGAAGAATTCCAACCCAGCAAACTTAATTCAAGGTAAATCATTGCTGCTTTTAAGTGATGGATTTTTTTTTTTAGCTGAAAGATAGGCATTAGTTATTTTAGAGCAACTTGACAAAGAACTTGCCACACTACTTAACCTCATCTTTCACTGTCAGCTTATTAGAATTCTGCCATTTTGGTCTAGAACCCTGGATTAACTGATGTTTCTTTTTAGCTTTTTTGTTTGTTTCTATTCATTTTCTATCTTCATGTTATTGAATCAGATCAATGTTTTGTGCCTTCCCTTCTAGTAACTTTTACATTCACATAGGCCTGACCTGATAAATACTTATTCTGAAATCTTTATGCATAACTTACTAATGTCTTAGAATAAAAGCCGGTAGTTGAAGTGACTCAGTAAACAGATATAAACATTTACAAGATTCTTGTTACATATTTCCAAATTCATTTCTAAAGAGGTTTTATATAAAATAAACTTCTGTCTGTACAGTGAGTGCTCATTTCACTTTTACACATTTTTTAGAGCCTATGCTAATCTCACAAGCAATAAAAAATATTTCATGCCTTGCTTATTTGGATTACTTCGGTTCGTGCTGAGGTTGAACATCTCTGTGTCTTTCGGCCACCTGTGTTTCTTATCTTGTATCGTTTAGATGTCTCCTTTGCCTGTTGCTGCACTAGGCACTTGTCTTTTGCTTATTGACATGTAAGATCTCTTTGTATATTAAGAATATTAACACTCTGTGATATATTTTGCAGATACTTCCCCAGTTTACTATTTGCTTTTTTGATTTTATGGTCTTATTTACATATAGAGGTTCTCCCCCTTTGGTATATAATAAAATCATAAGACGTGTATTCCTATAGTTTCTATTTTAGGTATTTAGAAAGCCTTTAATAATCCTGAAATAAGATTATAAATCACACATATATATTTCAGAGCTTTATAATTTTATTGTTGTTCCTTTTCCCTTTTTTATATTTAACCTCTAATTTGTTTGAGTCTATTATATGTAATAGGAAACCTAGTTAAACTTTTTATTCAAATACATAACTAATTCTTCTTTTTGTTATTTCCTTTTGCTATTGACTCTGTTTGTCTCCTTTCTTGTGCAACTAACTCATTTAATCAAATTAGTTATGTTTCTGGGCTTAAAAATTTATTCCATTGACCTACTTTCTCCACATTGTGTGGATTTCCTCCACTGTCTTAGATTCATGGCTCGATTTCTACCTGGTAATATAACCTATAACATAGTTTCTTATTACTCTTTGATTTTATAGTTTTTCTCGGTTATTGCCACCCATTTATTTTTTTCCAATAAACTTCAGAATAACTTGAAACCTTCTCTTCCCCCTAAAAATAATCTCATTGTGACTCTAATTGTCATGCTGTTAATCTATGAATTAGTAGTAGAGGAACTGAACATCTTAGCTATATTGAGTTTCTTATTCTAACACACTTCTTTCCCATTTATTCAAACTTATTATATACCCCTCTGTATGTTAATTTATTCTATTACTGTTAGGATAGACCAGATTACTGTTAATCCATTCTATTACTTTATAATTTTTGGTGAAATGTGAAAGTCATATTTGGGAGGGGGGGTGTCTATTATATCATCTAATTGGTAAGAAATAAGAAAGCTCTGAAATTTTGTATTTTTTATATCCAGCCACCTTAACTCTTTCTTAGTTGAAATAATTATCCAGATATTTCTCTTGGTTTTCTAGTGTGCAGTCATGATGCATGCCACGTTTCAAGTCTCATGATGCCTAACTGTGTGGATGTTGACTTGTAGATTGTCTCAACAAGTGTGATGATTTGGGTAGTGCACTGCTCTACCTCCTCTACCATCCTACCATCCTTACTGAGCCTGCTGCCTGCCCAGCCCTGATTAGTGCTCTGGAGTTCCGGGGGGGGGACAAGACCCTGCCTCCAAGGGCTGCACACGCCAGTGGGGGTAAACACACAAATAAGACCACTGAAGCTGGTGGGTCTAAAAGGGGCAATGGGATAGAAAATTACTTGGGGGGAGGGTGAGTCTTATGCTATTCCTAGTATTGGGGAGTGGTTTGCCAGTATTGTAATGCTGACTACATCTCAGACATTGAAATGCTGGAAGTCTGATGATATTAACGTCACGTTTTGCCAGGGGGTTGGGAAGGAGGAGGAAAAACACATTGTCATACCTGCATACTGCGGACCCAGCCTGGGTCTCATTTTGGGACTTGCGAGTTAACCGGAGCAGAAGGGCTGCAGTGAAGATGGGGAGGCTCCCGACTCCACTGCAAGAGGAAATCACAACTTACTATCAGGGCTTCCCAGGTAGCTCTGTGATAAAGAATCTGCCTGCCAAGCAGGAGACACAGGTTC